ATAATCATTTTCTTCACTCGTTCCCATACCCAGACCCAACGTCCGGAAAGTTGAGTCATAGTAATACTGAGATGTAGCGGGACTCTGGTTCTGTATTTATGAGACAGTAATTTAGACTGTTTTTATATGACCGTAGCGTTACGGCTGTATTTAAATCTGGAGAGACTACACAGACACAAAATTGCATAAAATGAATGTATTAATTTGTTTGTTCGGCACCCTCGGCCCTGGCTATTGCACTTTGTCTGAAGATCATTCCTTGTTGTCCCACTTACAATCCCCTGTGGCGTAAGGGTGAAGTTGTGATGAGAGGGTGCGCTCTAAGGTCGAGGAGGAGGCAGGGAGGTGGTGGTTGCGAGGCGTGAATCAACGAAGGTGACACCAGAACAAAGTCCTTGCGAGGCTTGGAAAAGGGTTAGTTGTTGGAAAGTTTCAGCTTTTAAACAGCTGCTTAATTGGTGCAGGTTGGCAGCGCGATATGATTGGCCGAGGGTGAAAGGGGCCGGCCTGGATGGGCTGCAGCATGTAGTCTACCAGACTGAATTTTCCCAGGCTGCATTTGTGAGACTGAAGTGGTAATACTGTATTTTGAGACTGTTTTTGGGAGACTGTAGACTGTGAGACTGTAGTGCTAATATTGTACGGTCTGAGCGTACTGTAGATTTGGAACATAAAAGGAGCTCTGCGGATGGCGCTGGTGATGAAGAGGGGCTGTCTGTACTGATAGATGCATAAACACTGCTTGTACCAAACAAAGGCATCAAGCAGCCATTTCATTGCAGCTTTGTACGATATGGCAGGCTGCTGCTGTGAATGTATTTATTAGTTTGCGATACATCCCTTTCTCTGTTTTTCCTGGGGCACAGGATAAAGCTGGTTTTGTTCACTGCCCAGTGTGAACGGTGCCTCGGCTGCCAGCTGTCAGGCCTGATACCGTCTCATTTGGATTCCCAGCCTGTCTGCTGAATGGCTAATTAGATTTGCCATTTTCAATCCACTGATTGCTATACATAGAGGGACAAAGGAGCTGACAGCATGTAGCATTCAAATCCAACTGTAACAATTAATAAGTGTGGTAATTAACATGTGTTGGGCACCATTGATTATGACATTACCTCTACAACGGATGGCCTGGCCCCTGCCGTTTCATTAAGGAGCACATGTATAGATTGTTATTAATAAAGCACTCTGTGGGGCTTCGAGAAGGTTATTAATTACACAAATTAGTGGGTGCAAGGGTAATCAAGTTAAAGCGATTTTGTTCACAATAATTGATCTAATTTTTACTGACCATTGGTGTTTGGCGGTGTCACATGCCCCTGTGCGAAGAGAAATCACCTCATTAACACAAGTTTAATCCTAATCATAGCTGAGGCTGTGGCCAACTTTAAGGTCATATCTGAATGTCAGAACCAGTGCGCATTGATCGCTGGTAAATGAAATCAATATCATGTTTAGAGAAAACAATAACCAATAATGGATGTGGCAGGCCAGTCCAAACAAACAGCTTTATCCACGGGAGCCAACAGGACTGCCACTTTCATAATTCATGATGTCGTCAGTCAGAATCAGGCAATTACCAGCAGAGCCAGCCACGTGTTTGAATGGATTGTATGTAGATTCAGCAACTACTTTTACAAACAGCTCTTTAAAATCTCATATTTCCCTGACACTTGTAAGTTGAGTATTAAGCAAATCTTAATTTGCTTTAGGTTAAACCTTGATTAACCTAAAGCAAATATCAATTCAATCAAGAAATGGTGCTGTGAAGCCTGCAGCAGCAGCAGTAACATTTGAGTAACCGTTTGGGGCCCAGCTCAAGTGGAGGACATTTGACATTTGGGTTCTGTTTTCTGTCACTGGAGCAAAGCCCATGCCAAGGGTCCTTTGTTTTTAATTAGTCTTTCTGTATGGGGTGTCTGGCGTGCTGCCAGCAGTTACAAATCCTCTTAGAGCAGTTATAGGTAAATGTGCTGGAGATGAGGGTAATGGCCAGTGTAAATGTTGTGATGCTCTGAAGTTTGTGTTACACTCTCCATCTTCACACTTCCCAACACTTATTTTCCTGCAAAGGAACAGCAGCCTTCACCTGCAAAAACAGCAGCAGTTCCAATCATCTGGAGGGTGTGAAATTTCACGCTCATTTTTTCACAACACATGTTTCAATATGTGCTGCTCCTTTTCAATCTCTATCCCCACCACGTATGAAATCTTTCCATTCTTGGCTGCAGCAAAAAGATGCAGCCAATCATAGCCAAGGATGGCAGTCACAATTTTCTGTGAACTATTTGCTCCTTTAAGAGGAAAATTGCTTTCAATATAAGCTCAGTTTGAAAGACAACAACAATAAAAAGATACAACTGTAATACGGCGGCTCTGTCAGCACTTGGCGGGACAGCTCCAGCGCAGCATATGACTGGGGGATGAGGTGCTTACAAGTCAGCCCTGTAATATCAGCATGCGAGGCAGACAGGCCGGCCAAATGAATCCCACTTTGAACATAACAGCTTGGCACCACATGAAAATGACTGCCATGAGCGCTGCTTGTCAGATATGCTCTGGCCATTGTGATGGTGAATTGTCATTTATTATATGTTGTGGCTGCCTCTGTCAGCTCCTGTTGACCGTGTGTATTGATTTGCAAGAGCAAAGAGGTGCAGAGGTCACTTTGATCAAGCCTTTACAGCTCTCGCCGACAGCAGCAAGCTGACATTCCATTACCTGCAACAAAAAGGGCTCAAAACAAAGCATATGTTAAGAAATCCTACTTCAATATAGCGATATGACTAGAATTAAGAACAAGGGAGACACGCAGAGGCTTTTGTGCATTGAAGTGCTTTGTCTGGTGTCAAATGGATCTCCTGAAACACAGGCATTTTGAAACTGCAGCCATGGTTAAAAAGTGAACAAGCCACTGAGAAAACCATGCACCAAAAACTAAATGATTATATTTAGACTTTATGGATTTATTAAATGTTCAATTGCACTGGTTTTTTAATAATTCATTTCAGACTTTTGGGCCACCACATTGACACAATAATTTCAGTAATTTTTTGTGACGACTTGCATTTTTTTCTTTCCATACTAAAAATGTGTTAGTCCCAAATAAAGACTCTTGTAAAAGTATTGAGTTGTGAACTTAGCAGACCACAACATACAGTAATGCCTTCTTCAAAACTAAATCTTTTGTAAACTTTTGAGTAGATATTTGATGATGAATGATGGTGGTCATTTCATTTTCACTTTTCTATCTAATAAAGCTAAACATGTGACAGAGGCCAGCAATACATTCAGATAAAGACTATAAGTGTATTAATAGCTTACAACTTTTATTACATAATTACTTTCTCAACTGCACCCCTTCAAAACACATCACAAGACCTTCTGGCACGTTTAATAATCCCCAGGTCTTTAAACATCGTCGCCGAGGCCCCTGATCTGACAGCAGCAATATGCTTTTATTTATTAACAAGAGGTGTGTAATAATTAGGGCCATGATGACACATGTGGGCGTGGGTTTGCAGATGAAACCCGGGTCTCAGGGCAGCGATTCAGCCAAATTTTCCCCGGTGAGTGGCATTATTGCGTGGGCTAGTGCTGCTGCTGTCTGCTGGGCCTGTCAAAGTCATGAGAGGATCACTTTATCATCGTTTGTCTGGCCGCCCTGATGCTATTGAGTGGGAGGGGGCCTTAGGGAAATGGGCCTGTATTTGCTGTATGCTTCTTTTTGGACTTAGTTGCTAGCTCGGCTTTATCAGGGTGGCCGTCTGCAGCCTGTCAGATCTGAGTATTATGTTCCATGTGCGGTGGAGATGTAGTGAAGCCATAATTTGGGGGGACACATACAGTATGTTAAAACAAATATCACCAACGCTTTAGTTGTCCAATGCTTTTGAAAAATAGTGACTTTTTTCTACAGGCAATAACAATCAAATCCCATGAAATGACCTTTACCACTTTCTTGTGTTTGAATGGTTTGATTCTCTGATCTGTGTTGGCAAATTCGATGGTTTTGTAAAGTCCTCTGATAACTATTGTTCTGATTTAGGGCCATACAAAAACAAATTGAATTGAATAAAGGTTCTGTTACCTTATCTTAAAATAAATAATATAAGATAACATACATTATGAAAAAATTATGTGAAAGTAGAAGAATTATGCACATTGCAATCTTAAAGGTACTCTGTATATTTTTTACAGTAGCTCCAAATGAAAAAACATGTTAACCAATAGAGCTGGAGGACACTCCATGCCAATGCACCATCTTGAAATACAGTGGTTGATAAGGGACGAAAAGGAGTTTGATTGGGAGCTGGAGACCACTGTCAAAGACGATGTACTGTTCTATAAAGTATACCATAGATTACAATATATCATCTCAACTCTAGATGGGAGTAAAAACTACACATTGTACCTTTAAATATATACAACTTATAGCCGGGGCTCTATAATTTTCAAAAATCAAAATGTAGATCTCACCATTTTACAATCTGAGTTTGTTTCCTCACTACAGGCCTTTTTGTGTGTTCCTTTTTCTCAGATTATTATGATTATTATCATCAGCTCTAAGCCGAGAACCTTACATAGTATGTGTTTATTTGTGCAGAGACAGTGCACAACAAAACAATAGCCAAGACATTGGAGTGATAGCAGAGATGCTGATGCCAGATTTTAGCAGAAATGTACCTTGTCCAACAGCGATCCCCTGAGCTCTTTAATATAGCTCAGGGGATATATTGCTTAATATAGTATAAGCAAGATGAAAAAAGCACACTGCTTTTGATATATATTTAAATGTCAATGACAAGGCTCTGTCTGAAGCTTAAGAAACATGATTAAGTTTATGTGGTTTGATACCTCAGCCACAGTATTTAAGGCCAAAACCAAATGGTGCATCGACCCTGGATGGACAATTTGAAAGATGTGTGGGTTTTTAGTCTTGTTAAAAGAGGGTTAATGAGGGTTAAGGAGGAGTAACCAAGTGGCTGTAACATAACACCATGCTCTGTTTGACCCCTCACTGCTCTCCCCCCTCAGTTCCTCAAGCAGAGGTCCAAGCAGAGGTCCAAGCAGAGGTCCAAGCAGAGGTCCAAGCAGAGATCCAAGCAGAGGTCCAAGCAGAGGTCCAAGCAGAGGTCCAAGCAGAGGTCCAAGCAGAGATCCAAGCAGAGGTCCAAGCAGAGATCCAAGCAGAGGTCCAAGCAGAGGTCCAAGCAGAGGTCCAAGCAGAGGTCCAAGCAGAGATCCAAGCAGAGGTCCAAGCAGAGATCCAAGCAGAGGTCCAAGCAGAGGTCCAAGCAGAGATCCAAGCAGAGGTCCAAGCAGAGGTCCAAGCAGAGGTCCAAGCAGAGGTCCAAGCAGAGGTCCAAGCAGAGGTCCAAGCAGAGATCCCAGCAGGATCAAAGGAGGGTCAGAGGAGGGTCTAAAGGTTGTTTTCATACACCAGCCAATATAACCCTTTTTTTTTTTTTTTTAAATCAGAATAGATTTTTCCTCAGTTTTAGAGAACCAAATGTTACATTGGTTGTTTTGATAACATATACATTCTTGTTATTAGCAATGTTTTGTAAAACTTTTTATAATGAAAAACCATTGATTTAAAAGACCTTGTGCTGAAATTGGGGAAAAAAAGAAAGAAAGAACATGTTTTAACTTTAGGGCAAAGTAAAACAAATGAAAAGTGAAAATGTTATTCCACATTGCAGCATATGTAACGCTTACGGTAGGTGACATTCAAAACAATCTGACACTTGGTTGGCTTCCTGTTTATTCTCCCCTTTAGATATTTTTGTGCCCTTTTAATTAAGAGCCATATGTCAGGACTCATCTCATATTTAAAGCTTAAGGCAGTCAAGTTCCAGAGTCTAAATGTTAATGGACTATCACATGTTGATTAAGTCGTTAGAAAAGTCTGAAAGAGTAAAAGGCTCAGTGCCTTCTGAACTGCATCGTACAGGTACGACATTTTAGACACTAAAGATGTACTATTTTCACAACAAACATTTGCACAATTTATTTGATTTCCGAATAGTTACACTACACAAAGAGGCATCTACCAACCTGGAGTTCTTACACCTTTCTCATATTTGTTTGGATTAAAATGATGGTTAGTGCACACAACAAACGCTGCTTTTACAACATATCTGTACAAGGATGACTTTGCTCAACTTCAAGGCAAACATCAGCCTCTTTAAAGTCCAAAGAGTATGAATCACATTCCCCGAATTAATGAAGATGAAAACCAGACTTCAAAACCTTCTCCACGGAGATGCCCTCCTCCGGGCCGAGTCAGGTCAGGATACAAGCCCCATCACAGCAGGACAGTCCCAATCCCAAGTCAATGTCAATGTCCCATGTAATTTAAAAGAATGAATCGAGAGATTAATAAAAAATAAGGTTACACTTAATTCGATAAAAATAAGGTATCATTAGCATAATTGTTTGTGGCTAATTTGTTGATATTTATCATAATTCATACCTTATTAACGCCTCATCCTACACAGCCTGATTCAGCAGCATCTAGACTGTCGCAAACACTTGCTCATAATAATGTACCCAATTAATTATGTAAATAATAATAATTTGCAGTCTATGAGCAGCTTAATCAGGCTGTATAGGAAAAGATAAGATAGAACATTGTATTCTTGTATATTTGATTATACGTGATTTGTGCCAAAATGTAGCCCTGGTCTAATGTCAGCATAGGTCTTTTCATCATTTTTCTTAACCTCTTTTAAATGTTTGATTCCTGCAGTTTATCAGTTTTAGCATGTGCTTGTTTTTTGGAATATTAAGTGTTTTTTTGTCTTTAGTTTTGTGTTGTTTTAATATTTGTTAATAATATTCCAATGTGGTTTATAACTGCAAATGGCGCAAACACTGGAGTTGAACCTTCTTATGTTCTCCTATACTTTACTTACTTTTAAAGAGTTTTTTCTGCCCAATTAGGCCAAAATTGTAAAGTTTATTTAATAGAGTTGTTATAAATAAAAAAATAAAACAAATAAATCCACAACAGCTTGCTTGGAATAAAATCTCTTCAATTAGATGTCCATTACAACCACCACATGTAATCCCCATTTTTAGGGGCCAATCCACAATGCAAAATTGATTAATATTTGCTTTCAAAATGACACTGCTTGATGCATGAGGGCACTCCACATGTAAATGAACACTTACAAGGAGATGAATAGCCCCAGCAGAGGATTGTAAAGTTCAAGCACTTGATTTGCATATTTATGTTACAAGTAACTGATAATAAGCCGCGGACGGGGAGGAAAAGGCAATGCGTTTGTCAATGTACGATTACTACACTGGTCTTTTTAGCTGCGCCGCGCTGATATCTTCAATTTCATGCCACAATAGCAGCTTTCGAGATGTATTGTTCGGCATTTTGACTTCATAATATAATTTAGATGGAAGTGATGTTGAATACAGTGGGAGACAGAACAAGCTGAGGGAATGAGCTCATCACAGACACGTATGGTAATGTCCAGTTTTAATAAGTGCGCATATCTGGATATAGGTTCAGGCTTATTTACCTTTTAAAGAATACAGCTTTAATAGAGAATCAATTACCATGAAATTAAACACCAGCAGTGCTATTGTGAACCAAAGCCTGCAGATGAATGCATGTGTGTATGTGAGCATATGCATGTGTGTGTGTGTGTGCGTGTGTGTGAGTAAGTGAAAGTGTGTGTGAGTGTGTGTGTGTGTCTGTGTGTATGCATGTGTGTTTGTGCGCGTGCATGTGTGTGTGTATGTACGAGTGTGCATATGTATGTGCATCTCTGTGTGTGTATGTATGAACTGCATAAAGTGTTTTATTAGAAGTTAAGTATGGGATTTTAAAAAGTGCTTAGTGCTCTGATAAAAACTAGAATCTACATGAAGTGCGTTGATCATTCACTCATAGACAAGCTCAGGACAAGCTCTCCCAGCTCAACGTGCCCGAGGAGAATGTCCCGGACTCTCGGATTATAAACACAGGAGCCCCACAGGGCTGTGTTCTTTCTCCCCTGCTCTTCTCCCTGTACACCAACCACTGCACCTCCAGCCACGACTCCGTGAAGCTGATCAAGTTTGCGGACGACACCACCCTCATTGGACTCATCTCCAACAACAGGAGGGAGGTGGACCAGCTGGTGTCTTGATGCACTGACAACAACCTGGAGCTGAACGCCCAAAAGACAGTGGAGATGATTGTGGACTTCAGGAAGAGCACAGTCCCCCCGCCCCCACCCTCCGTGATGGACTCCCCCATCACCTCTGTGGAGTCCTTCCGTTTCCTGGGCACCACCATCACCCAGGACCTCAAGTGGGAGCCGACCATCAGCTCCCTCATCAAGAAGGCCCAGCAGAGGAAGTACTTCCTGCGGCAGCTCAGGAAAGTCAAGCTGCCTGCACAGATGTTGGTGCAGTTCTACACGGCCATCATCAAGCCCATCCTCACCTCCTCCATCACCGTGTGGTTCGCTGGAGCCACAGTCAGGGACAAACAGAGACTACAGCGCATTGTGCGCTCTGCAGAGGAAGTGATCGGCCGCAGCCTTCCATCGCTGCAGGACCTGTACGTCGCCCGAGCTCGAGGCCGGGCTGGTCGTATCACAGCCGACCCCTCTCACCCTGCACATGGATTGTTCCAACCTCTCCCCTCAGGCAGGCGGCTACGGTCCAATCGGACCAGAACCTCCTGCCATAAGAACAATTTCTTCCCCTCTGCTGTCGGACTCTGACCACTTCATAACCTGTCCCCCCGCCCTTTATAAAGTCACTTTACTTCCCACCATAGCGTCCCTTTACTGCTGTCACCTTATTTCACTGCTTACTGCACATGGTGTGCGCTTGTATATTGTATATAGAAATTGTAATTGTAATAATTCTATTTTAAATTTTATACCTTAGAAGTGTTTTGATTTTTTAATTATGCCTTACACTATTCTTTACGTCTCTTTCTGACTGTTGCACCGAGCCAAAGCAATTCTGTGACTTCCTGTTATCTACACGGCAATAGTAAATTGTGACTCTGATTCTGGATACTATGTCTGTACTATATACGAGTGGTCTTTTCATTACATCATTAACATTCTTCTTCATCTGACAGACCTGAAACGCTGACATGACCACAATGAGTCAACGTTATCCTTGTGTGCGCTCATCACTGCGGTCACTTCCTGTCCGTGGACGAGCCGCAGCGCTTCATGTTTTGTGAAGCCAAACAACAGGAAGCTTGTGCTCATGATGTCACTGCTTTTATCAAAGCTCTGGGCCAAAGTTTCCACTGTCCTGCTCTGGCCAACCTCCAAGAGACACGAAATTATTTTAAAACATATTCCCCACAAGGGCTTTATAGGAGAACATGTTTAAGAGGATTACGGAGGTGTTCGTTCACAAAGATGAGCTGGATTGGAACAGATCTACATTCCACACCTAAAAATGCAAATTAAGTATTCACTCATCCAGAATACACACACTCCAATACTTTCCAAAGCATCAGGGAGAAGCAAAGGCGACCCAGAGCCATCCTGTGTGAATAAAAAACTGCAAAATCAGTTTTATGACAATGCAAAACATGCCAAACAGGAACACACTTTTTAAACAGTGTCCACAAGCATTTTACAGATGAAGGTCACCCAAAGCGCTTTACAAAGTTCAGACACCAGATATTATATTGTTAAATATGTTATAAATAACTTTTGGAAAAGTTGAACATATATACTGTAAATATATGAATAATAGTTACGTTGGTGGTGTTAGGGTCAAATTTTACCGGTGTAGATTTGTTTGTTCTGAAAGTTTTCTAGAGTTTGATCTGAAAATCTCTAATGCAGTCTTTAGGTCTTGGATAATGTGACTCTGAAAATCGAGTGGGTCCAGGGCTCATGATTATGATGTTTGCTGATGTTGCTCTGCCTTCATCTTCATACGGGTTTGAGACCAAACCTTCCCATTCTTTGAAACAAAGCCTTGTTTTGGCTCATTCAGTGACTTCTGGGTGGAGTGGAATTTGCATGCTTTCCACATGTATGCATAGGTTTCCTCCAGGTGCTCCTGTTTTTTTTCTGACAATACTTTCAGAAATTTCTAAATTGTGAAACACAGTTTTGCTGTGTTTATATATGTGTTATGGAGGATATCATGAAGCCTTTTTCTAATAATATCAACTACATTGTAGTTATTACATATTCTGGGTCGCTGGAGACCCTAACACCACATGAGGGTTACACTTGAATGTAGTAAATCCACCTTCATGACACTTTCTCTTTCATATGCTAGTGGTGAAAAAGATCACTGCCTTTAAGGACTGTGACAGGTGACCAGTCTTCCTTGTTGCAATAGTTTTATTCAAATTCAAGAATAACAAGATCATTTTGTAATGTTTGACAAAGTGAAGCAAAAGGAGAGAGGTTTTACAGAGTCAGTCTTA